GGCGGTGTGGGGGTGACTGGGGGGTCCCAGCTGCAGGCGGCTGGGCGCGCCTGCGAGCGGAACGGCAGCAGGCAGGGGCCTTGCAGGCGCTGCAGAGCGACCGGGACCGTGCTCTATGCCTATAGCTGGCGGGGGAGAGTTGCTGAGGGTTGTCTGACGGGGAAGCCCTGGGATCAGTGGAGGGCCAGGGTAGGGTTTCCGGCGAAATTTGCGATAAATGGGTGAAAACCGCATAGATCCTGCTGTTTTGTGGCTCCAGTCTGTACCATCAGCATAAAGAACAAGCATCGTTGCCCCCAAAGCACCTTAGTACACAGAACGAGATGGCTCTTGGCTCTTTTTGTTCAAAACCCCCAAATGGTACCACTAAAATGTAGAACGAGTGTCATTTCTAGTATCAGGCGAAATTTGCGATAAATGGGTGAAAACCGCATAGATCCTGCTGTTTTGTGGCTCCAGTCTGTACCATCAGCATAAAGAACAAGCATCGTTGCCCCCAAAGCACCTTAGTACACAGAACGAGATGGCTCTTGGCTCTTTTTGTTCAAAACCCCCAAATGGTACCACTAAAATGTAGAACGAGTGTCATTTCTAGTATCAGGGGTAGCCGTGTTAGTCTGAAACTGCAAAAGCAACCAGCAGTCCTGTGGCACCTTACAGACTAACAGATGCTCCAATCAATCTGTTAGTCTCTAAGGTGCCACAGGACTCCTCGCTTTTGTCATTTCTACTGCACCTGATTCACTAGCACTGGAAAAATCAACTTAGAAGAACATCTCTGTGATACAGTGCTGTTGCTCCTGTTTTACCAATGACAGAGAGAACCTAACTGACTTGCCCAGAGTCATGCAGTACATGAGTGTTGGCATGAAATGGGGAATTCATCCCAGGTGCCTCAAATTCCAGACCCACACTCTACCCATTTGGATTCTTTTCTCTTATAGCAAAGTACAGCTGTCACAAATTACAAACATCCAGACTCCAGTGTATCCTTATATAATAAAGAACTCTGCAAAAATACAGGTTGGGGGTGGAGGCTAAAATCGTTTAGATTTAGATACTGGATATGAGTTCTTGTGATGCTATGTCTTATTCTTGGGTATCAGTATAAGCTTTTGTGCTCTGTATGGTTTTGGGTAGGGCAAAAGTAATTACACTTGTTCTCTCTTCAAATGATTGCTGCCAAAAATGATAATATCTAGTGAGGCCAAGAGCTGAATCCAGTTTTACACACCCCTGATATATTGAGAGATACCCAAATTTGAATTTTCTTTGATACCGTAAAAGAGACTAGCTTTATTTTCTATTATAATAGCAAAGACTGATGGGATCTAGGCAGACTTAGCTTCTACAGTCTGTGAGTTTGTAAAGTGAGGAAGACCCAGACGAAGGGCAGGGCAACAAATTTATAAATAGAGAGTTTGGAAAGTGGTCTGCTCAGTGCTTATAAAAGAGGCAATATGGAATGAAGAAGAGGGTTAGGCTTGGTGCATTTCTGTTTGAAAGAAAAATGTTATAAATGAAAAAGCATTACATTAATTCCAAAAATAGTCTGATTCTGCAATTTAAAACTTGCAAGAGTTTGCTCAAGTAAACACTCCAGGTTAAGGACCAAAATGAAAGAGTTCTTTCCAGCTAATAGCACTAATCACCTGACAGCTAATGTAAAATTTGATAACTGGGAACTAGACTACTTCTGTGCTTGTGTACTGCAGAATTCCCAACTCTCCTAACTTTTTGAGAAACCATTTTTCTGAATGCCATTCCTAGCTCTGCTGTATGCTCACTAACCCTTTGACCTTAAAACTGCTCAAAAGGACTGAAAGTAGCATGTTTGGCTTTCATTCCCCACTCTTTAGGGCAGGGGTGGGGAACCTTTTTTCGTTTGTGAAATGCTGACCTACAGAAAAATCAGTTGGGGGCCACACACAAGTGAAAAGCAACAAAAAACCCTTTCATCGACCCGGCCACCAACTGACAAGCAGAAAGACACTCCCCACATTCATTTGTACACCAGTGCTGGGGAACAGGCTCCCCGATGCTGGGTGAAGAGCCCTGAGCCTTAGGAGCTGGATCCAGCCCCTGGGCCTTAGGTTCCCCATCCCTGCCATAAGGAAAGTGTAACTTAATTTTGACTGATGTATCACTATTGAAATAGTCATCAGGTGGTAAAAATGTCCATATTTCCAAACTATTTTGTGTTGTAAGCTGCCATCCACAAAGAAATGGGTTTAAAATGACAGGCTTTGGTGATCTCAAGGATGAATGGTAATTAATGTAAATCATTTTACAATACAGTATATAAATCACATACAAAGTGCTTGATGTGGACAGTGTTTTAATGAAAAAACCTTTGAAGACAAAATACCTATATTACAATGAAAAGAAAAATTAAAAAGCTACTTCATTGTTTGCAATAGGTTGTAACCAATTAGAGAAATTTGGTTAATATGTTCTGATATTTTTGTACATTAAGAATTAATCACTGTTACTTGCCGCTCCAGCAGCCATTAATGAACAACCTATTCTTATAATTGTGTTAATTTCCTGTATGAAACTGTTGGACAAATACATTTAGGCATGATAACAGGCTACACATGCTGATAAGACTGGATTTTTAATAGGATATGTTTTAATATAGCCCAGGTCAGTTGTAAATTAAATGTTATTACTGTTGCATGGTCCAAAATACATTCAGTGTCCTTGTGAAATAAGTGATCTCAACTCACTTCTAATGACCCAGTTTTGTTCTTACTTATGTCAATGAAGAGAATCTAAATAGGAATTGCAGGGCATGCACATCACAGACTTTGTCATCATATTTTGACAGCAGCTGACATTCTTACTTGTATCAACAGAGAGGCTCATGAGAGTCTGAATTAGGCTTCAATCCTGCAAAATATACAACATTCTTTAATGGTATTACTCTCATGCTTATAGTTAAAACCATAAGGCTAATTCTACACTTCAGGCTTCTTGCGCAAGAATTGTTCTGCACAAGACTTCTTGCACAAAAGGTTTTGCGCAAGAGCGCGTCCACACTGCCATGTGCTTTTGCGTAAGAGCGTCCATGGCAGTGTGAACACTCTCTTGCGCAAGAAAGCTTTGGTGGCCATTTTAGCCATAAAATTTCTTGCATAGGAAACCCCTGTTGCCTGTCCATGCTGCCTTCTTGCGCAAAAGCTTTTGCACAAGAGGGCTTATTCCTCGTAGGGAGAGGAATAACTCTTGTGCAAGAAGCCCTCTCTTCTGATGCTTTACTGTAAATTTACTTGCACAAGAACACGCATGGGCTACGTCTAGACTGGCATGATTTTCTTCAAATGCTTTTAACGGAAATTTTTTTACGAGGGATAAGGGATCTTTCGAAAAAGGCTTTATTTTTCGAAAGATCCACGTCTAGACTGCCGCTTTTCTTCGGCAAAGTTCCGTGCCAAAAAAAAGCAGCAGCCATTTTAATGTTAATGAAGCACGGGAGATTTAAATCCCGGCTTCATTAACAATTTTGATATGTCTAATTTACATCCCTTTTTCGAAAAAATGTGTTTGAGGATTTGTCAAGAGACTGAGCTATTGTCAAGATTTGATCCTCCATGTTAGCATTAAGACTCCTTGCTGAGGTAGTGTAGGGGACTCATCTCTGCTGTACCTGTTCTGTAGATAACTTTATTTTCTACCTCTATCATTCTAGGTATATTTCACTGCCATAAAATTCCTATTTAAAAATAATGTCAAACATGCTGATTTTTGTTGTTGTGTTAATTTTGACTTCATTCAAAATGCATGGCTGGGCGAAATCAATGTTTTGACAAAATATATAAGCCCATTTGAGTTTGAACAAGTTACAGGCAGTCCCCGGGTTACGTACAAGATAGGGACTGTAGGTTTGTTCTTAAGTTGAATCTGTATGTAAGTCGGAACTGGCGTCCAGATTCAGCCGCTGCTGAAACTGATTGTGTTAATTTTGACTTCATTCAAAATGCATGGCTGGGCGAAATCAATGTTTTGACAAAATATATAAGCCCATTTGAGTTTGAACAAGTTACAGGCAGTCCCCGGGTTACGTACAAGATAGGGACTGTAGGTTTGTTCTTAAGTTGAATCTGTATGTAAGTCGGAACTGGCGTCCAGATTCAGCCGCTGCTGAAACTGATCAGTTTCA